CTCCTGTGTGTGTGTGTGTGTGTGTGTGTGTGTACAAACGCATAGTTGCCTAAGAACAAATTGTACGCAGATAGGAAGAATAACCAAGTCTGTTATATATTTGATAGTGGAAGAATTGAGGTATTTGCAGTATGGACTTCTAGCCCAAGAACTGCAGTGGCAGCAACTACTTTTCAGCTAAGCTTATGTAGTTGATTCAGTGCTGCTAATGCTGTGAGCCTTCCTAATATGCCTTTAGACTGGATATTAATTGTTATCTATCCTATCATTCTGATTATGGAGAGGCAGTAAGATCAGAACTTTTTGATGCTAATTACTAGTCCTGTATACATTATTGATCCTTTTCACAGTAATTAAGCAGGAGTTCATTCTCAATGGCTAGTTTTCTCATATTTGGAAATAATTACAGAGGAAAACAAGTCTGTCCATTTTTCATTTGTTACTGGATAAATGATGTTCAAATAACTTACAGCTCTCCATTTCATAATACATAGGATCAACATGTATTGAGCTTTATCCTTATTAAAAGCAAATATTATGAAGGAGCAATTCCAGTACAGCATCTTTGAAAAAGCTGTATTTTATCTGCAAAATGCTTTTCCTGTATCAATTACAGATATTATCTATTACAATTTAGCAACATGCTTCTAGGCTATTTTTGTGAAACTACCTTATTTGTTACATATTTAACAGAAGATGAAGAATCAGGACCAACAAGAGATGTATCTCGTCACTTTGAGGATACTAGCTATGGTTATAAAGATTTCTCAAGACATGGAATGCATGTGCCTACATTCCGCGTACAGGTAGGTCATACATTATAAGTATCACATTATAAATGTGCGTAGCATATTAGGTATATAAATGATACATTGGATGTTTTTTTGTTTATAACTGTAGAGCAGGCATAGGCAGTTTGCCAGTTTTGAACTGTAGGTTTGAATGTTTTCTAATCAGCCTCAGGCAGTGGATAGGGGATTATTGTGAAAGCTATAGTTGAAACTGATGGAGGACAACTGAGTGTCCATGCTTTTGGAATGCACAGCAATTTCCTTAATTTGGATTTTAAAAATGAAGTTAAAAGTATATTTTTCTACCTTGTCAGTGTTCTTGAGAACTTGCTTCCATGTGCCTATTTTGCTTTTAAGGACTATTCGTGGGAAGACCATGGGTATTCACTGGTAAACCGTCTCTATCCAGATGTAGGACAACTGATAGATGAGAAGTTTCAAATTGCCTACAACTTGACTTACAACACAATGGCAATGCATAAAGATGTGGATACATCAATGCTTAGACGGGCAATCTGGAATTATATCCACTGTATGTTTGGAATAAGGTTGGTCATGTTGTAATTTCTGTACAAGATCAGCTTCAGTTCTCTATTCATTTTGGAAATATTGTTTCCCATATGGACTCTGTCCACATGTACTAAGCATATTTAACACTTATTATCAGACTGAATCTATATTAAGACCCTAGATCAAAAGACATGAACATACAATTGATGAATTGGATAAAGAATAAAGTAATAGCATTGGTAACTTTTTACTAACAAATGCTGGTAAAGGCAAATTCTGGATAGCAATTCTGCTTGAGGTAAGAATCTTGTGCCCTGAAAAAGCTAACCATAATTTTAAAAGTAAAGGTGATTCTAGAACAAAGTTTTTGTGTAGCTCCCAATCCACGGCTAGAAGATACCACTAAGGAAGCTGGAATTTGTCAGGGCAAGCAGCAGCTCAGAAAAGGCAAAAGACAGCTGTAATATTCTGAAAGTCAGCGCCTGGACAGGACTGCATAGAGTAGAAGAGGAAAACAGGGCAAAGCACCAAACAAGGGGACATGTGATACTTCCAATACATTGAGAATGGACAAAAATACTCAGGCCATTAGTGTAACTGAAATTCTAGCAAAACTAGTTTAAGATCTACCAGAACACTTATGACTATGAGATAGCAAGCAATCACCCAGTAATTACTATAACTGTAGCAATGTGTTTAATGCAAAATCTGAACACATTTGTTCTCCTGATTATAGATATGATGATTATGACTATGGTGAAATTAATCAGCTGTTGGATCGCAGCTTTAAAATTTATATCAAAACTGTAGTGTGTGCTCCTGAGAGGACCACAAATAGAATGTATGATAGCTTCTGGAGGCAGTTCAAACATTCTGAGAAGGTATGTTGTACATCTATGTGTTGTGACTTGATAGGGTGAATAATAATTTTGCTTGACAGTTGCATCTACTGAAGCATTCATTTTGCTTATATTGTGATCCATGACTTAAATATCTCCTCTTACAAAATGTTTACACTTTCACCAGTCTGTAATGTTTTTGTCTTTACATCACTGCTCTTAGTGGAAATAGCAGCATTAATGAATTTACTTTATTGAAGAAAATGCTGTAGATCCTTATAATTAGAACTATCTTGTCTCATCTGATAACAGTACTTAAAATCATTCCAGGCCTAAAGCAAGGCTCACAGCCTAGTGAGCATTGAACATATAACCATTGTATGGAGGCAGCAGGCCATCTAATTGGCTGTTGCATAGGATCCCTGCCATCTTCAACCATTAGTACACTCATAGAGCATTTCTGCATGCCTTAGAAGAATTCTGTAATACACAAAAGATACTACACCCAATTCCTTTTTGTTTTCTTTAAGGTGCACGTCAATTTGCTTCTCATAGAAGCACGGATGCAAGCTGAACTGCTTTACGCTCTGAGAGCCATTACTCGTTACATGACATGAAAACTTTGGGCAGTAGTGATGGAAGGGGCCGCAGGGGCTGCTTACCAGGGTTTGTTAAGGGGCTTTTCAACCAGCAGTGGCTAAAAGCCATGAAATTATTTGTGCCATAGTGTTTATTATTATTACTACTGCTACTACTAGTATTATTCCAGCTCCTTACTTAATGGATATCACTGCTGATGCTGAGCTTGGTGGTAGGAAGACAGTTGTTCAGAGACACACACAAATGGATTCCAGCCTGCTCCAGTTAGCATAGGAGGCAATGACTTCTGGCAGACAACTAATTACTGAAATCTTTGTGTATTGTCACGAATAGATAAAAATCTGGAAGATAAGAAGATTTTTGCTTTTGATATAAGAATGAATGATGTTTTTATAAAAGTCCTGATGCTGCTGAACTTGCTGGTTAAATGAAGAGACTAGCAATTCCAGTTATTAAGCTAGAAACAAATGTAAACAATGCTATTGTCTGAGCCTACATTGTATGTGATGTTAGAGAAGATCCTTGCTAATAATGCAGAGCTGACCAGGATGTTACACTAACAGTTTTAATTGTAAGAGAATCTTTTGTTGTCTGGACTGGGCTTATTAAGTCAGAGTGAGGCAGGTGAGACTTCAGAGCTGCTTAAAAATCTGCAACTGTGTGAAAAGCTAAATAGATGAGAGTGAGGATGGATAATCTATTTCTCCAGTATTCTTAGAAGCTATCAAAGGTGTGGAAATATTAATTCAGGCATCAAATAGCTTCTCAATAAAGCACTTACTCATTGCTACAGCCTGTCCCTTAGCAGCAGCTTGTGTAGTTAAGAAAATAGCATAACAACAACAAAAAACCCTTAAGTGACTTTGACATACCACTCTGTATGTGTGCGTGCGTGTGTGTGTGTGTGTGTGTGTGTAAAATATATGGGCACTTTTTGTATGAAGTCTGTCAGTATTACTGGATTGTTTAAATAAAAAATAACATTTTCCTCTTTTTTCAGACTTCTTAAAGTAGTATCTTTCATTACAAAATAGAGGAATGAATGCTGTGTCTGGTATGTATTTCTAATTTGTGTTTGAGAGAAAACGACAAAAGTTAAATTGCAATCCTTGACAGTTCAACAGGAAGCATCTGCTATTTCCTTTATTCAAAAATGCAAAGCATATGCTGATCCAAAACATATAAGCCAAATGTGCAGTTTTAAAGTTGGCTTTGACTAAAAATTTCATTCCCTGCTATATGAATTTCATTTGTGAAGTCAAATAACTATTTCACTTTACCAGATTAGCTTATCAATAAATGGACAAGGTTTGTAATCTTATCACATACAGTAAATACATTTGCAATTGTTTAAAAAATAAAAATCTGCATTTATGCTATGAGTTTTTAAAATGCATTTAAATGGGTGGAGAATAAATCTGTTAGCCTGAATCATATCTAAAAATTAATTTTAAAATTGTTGACCTAATGCAATACTAGTTCTATACATTAAAACCTAACCAAATTATTCAACAATGATTGCTGTCTGAATTATATATTAGAACTATTTACCATACTTTATTCCTCAAAACTGTAGTGACCCAAGTACCCATCTTCTAATGGAAAGTTATCCTCTTCTCTATTGTGGCAAATCGTGGAAAAGTGAATTTTTGTAATATATACATATGACTACAGTTCAATAATAGGAGCTATATATTTCTCTTTAAAGAGAACTGAAGACAAGTTAGGGTCTCTTCATGAGGAAGACAAATAGGGTCTCCTTTAAGACAGCCAGGGAGACCATATAGTATCACATTCAGTATTTCTTCTAATAGAGAGACCATAAAACTCTTCCAAAGATCGTAAGCAGAATAATAGAAGGAAAGGTGTTCTTTCAGATGTGCAAGTTGCACCAAAACTGCAAACTGGACTTTGAAGAAGCAGGTTAGAAAGAGTATTGACACTTTTGAACTTTAATGTGGAGAAGATTCCTGAGAATACCATGCATAGTCAACAAAACAAACAAATGGATCATAGAACAAATCAATCCAGAATTCTCACTTGAGGCACAAGTAACTAGCCTCAAATTATCATATTTTGGATATATTATACAGATATTTTCTTGAGAAATCTATATAGCTGAGAATGATGAAAGGAAAGAGAAGACAAGGATGTCTAGCAACATGGTGGATGGATTCAATTACAGTAGCAATGGGTACACTGTTGGAAGACCCGAAGGCCAGACTGAGGACAGATCATCCTGAGGTAGGTTTATGTGGTTGCTAAGAGGTGATATTGACTTGATGGCGCATAATCAAAACTTGCAATATTAAAAAGAATTCCCACTCTCATCAAGAAATATCGTTCTGCAATAAAAGCATTTTAATATAAGAGAAAGACGAGCAAACCTCTGTGAACAAGGATGCCTCTCTTATAGGGAAATCCACAAGAAGACAGGCCATTCCTCAAATAGCAAAGCCACAAAATATTTAAAGTCTGAAAAGGGCCCTGTCTTTATTTTAGAAAAAAATGAATTAAAAATGAGCCAATCTTTAACTAACCAATATATACTAGTTACCAACCTACCTTCCAGCTGCTCTTCAAGAATAGCCCTCCACAGCCACACTGTATGGATGACTGACAAATGAAATCAGAATCAGGAATGGTAATTGCTGGACACTAAACAGTTGTACAAACCACCATACCTGAACATTTAGAAACAGAATATAATCAAGGTGTACTCTCAAATTACAAATCTAATTTATCAAGGACAGTATAATCTTCTACAAAACAGACTGGATCCCAAGTCCTGAGCTAGGCTTTCTACTGACTAACATTACTTCCATCTTGTCTGGATTCAATTTCTGCTTATTCAACCTCATCCAGTGCATTAAACTACTGAGTGCTTTAATGAAATTAGATAATAAGAGCTACTAAAAGTAAGTCTCATTAGCATACTAGCAGTACCATGCTCCAAAGTTCCAGATAGTTTCTTATAACTTTCATATACACAGATGACTGGCCAGATTCTTGTGGACCCTCCATAAATGAATGGCCCTGATACCACGCAACTGTCCCCTCAGCAGTATCCTTTGAATCAAACTCAATGAAGTCAAAAGGACCCATTGCTCATGCAAGACCCATTTTCGTCTTTCCTGGATATCTTGATAACCATGGTACTAATTCTTGCAATCTTTTATAAAACCTTAACTATAAACCATAAAATTATTATAAAGTTAAGTCAAAAAGATACTCAATTCAGATGTAATTAGTTTATTTTCATATTTCCTAAATGCCACTGGAAATTTAAGAAAATATATTCTACAATGAATGTACGTGCTATATAGAAAAATAAAAAAACCTAAAAGGCATTTCTCATGGAAACAACATACTGAAATGTTTTGATGCCAATTTGCAAAAACAGCTGCAGAAGTGCTTTGTGTACTGATTGACTGTATGAAGTATTAGGAGCTCAAGTAATGATTTTCAAGTCTGAATTCTCTGGAGAAGTTTCTGTCCCACAGGTTTGAATTCTGTTTCCCAGTAAAGTTTGTGATACTCTCTTAAGTCACTGTCAAAACTGTACGCCAGTGCCAATTCTTCATCTACAACAAGAGAAGGAATACCTACCAATCAACATTAAATAATAATATACTTAAAACAATGTATGAGTTATTCACACGTGTATTTGGATATATCTGCTACTAACACAGAAAAGAATTAAGAAAAAGAATGTGTGCACAAAAGTATTAAGATAAATTTCCTGAGGGGTTTGGGGTTTTTTTTCCCTGCCTTTGAGTCAGACTTGGCTCCAGCTTACTGCATGAAGTTTTCTAGGCAGCATTTTTGGAAGTGGTTTGCCACTGCCTTCTTCCTGAGGCTGAGAGGGAATGACTAGCCAAAGGTCACCCAGTTGGCTTTCATGCTTAAGGCAGGAATAGAACTCAGGTTTTTCTGCTCCTAGTCCAACACTTTAACCAATAGATCAAACTGGCTCTTAAATTACTGACAGCTTTTTTTTTTTTTAAATCAGGTAGTTGGTAATACTAATAATAGTATTACCAAGACTCTGGAAAGACTGCCAATTGGTGAAGAAAATAATGGGCTACATGGGAAAAAAGTCCTGCTATAAGCAACTTCCTATATTTCTTACTTCCATCCATTATGGAAGTATGGTGAGATTGTTTTTACAGCTTACCTAAAAATGACATAAGAAGAACTAGTAGACTGTTTGAATCATCATCTTCAAAGCATGCTTCATTACTTGTAACATTTTCACTGTAGTTCCACAAAGTTTTACATATCAAACAAGCCAGCTGCCAGTCCGTGGGTCCAAAATCTCTCAAACAATCGATTAATCTGTTGTAATAATAGGTGAAAACCAATGTTTGCTTTTTAATTGCTGCTATTAAACCCTTGCAAATCTAGGGTCTTCTATAAAGCCTTGTAGGAAAATAGAAACAATATACTAGATATTTCTTCCCTCCCCAGTGTGAATTTCAATGCCATCTTTGACCTCTGACTCAGCTAGTTTCTAGGACTCACTTTTTAATTCCTCCTTCTTCATTCAAAATACTACGCCTGCTTTTATCCACAGTAAGGTTGAGGAGAACTCCACAGGCTGAAAAGCAGACATCTTGGTGTTTGGCATCAAGCAAAGCAATCATGAACTTGTACACTAGATCACAGAAGAAAAAATTTAGAGAACAAACTTGTTTTTAAGAACAGGTAACTGTATCAGATGCTTGGAATACTGCTCTGCCACTTCTAAAGGACTGAAATACTGACTTCTTTAGCAGTTATCAACTCTCCATGCAATTAATGAAAATGCCACATTTTTCACAGGCTTATCCCAGTAATCACAACATGAAGACTTGGCATGACTTTGAGCACAATTATTCTTTTGATGTCCTTTTAAAAAGTTCCCTGATAGAAAGCTGAACTTGTGCTTGAGATCTTGTAACATTTTGGGCATTTAAATTTTTTAAAATTAAAATGTATGCATTTTAATTTGGAGGCAATCACAGTGTTGTATGAAATGTCATGATGGTACCTGCCCTTGCAAATTCTGCTTAAGTTAAACAGAATATCCTTTTATGACACTTGTCCAAGCATTCTCAAATAGCACTCTTTTTTACATAGATAATTTTAATGACCATTTCTTTTAAGCAAAAACCAACAAGCAACATTTCGTGAATATATGATTTATGTTACTTTATATAACTTAGTCATTTCTAATGGGATAGGAACTCACCTTTTCGCTGTATAATAAAATCACAGATTTCATGGTTTTGAGAAAGATTACCAAAGACCCGAATAGCCTCCAGAATGCCATCCATATGACTGCTCATTAACAGCTTTAAAAGCACTGTATGTAGAAAATATACTGCATTTAATATACTTCAAGGGCAGTAAAGTATGTGTGACAGAAAAGCAAATTAAGCTATGAGTGTACATCATCTTTATTTTCAGCTCTCAGAGTAGAGAGAAAAGTTGCATGTCATGCCCTCAGGTGAAAAGTGCCATGGCGCGTGTGTGTGTATGTATGTGTGTGTGTGTGTGTGTATGTATATATATGTGTGTGTGTATGTATGTGTGTGTGTGTGTATATATATATATAATGCATAGCATAGCATAGCATAGCATAGCATATAGTACAAATGCCTGTGATATTTTTGCCACTTACTGACCAACAGGAGGAACTGTATGACCAATTTTGCTCTTACTGGAATTCATCAGATACATATACACCAAATAAATCAATTTTAGATCTTACAAAAGTATATATAAGCTCTAAATTGATTACAATGGCTACTTGTATCTGATGAGCTCCAGTAAGAATGAAACTGGTCACAAACTACTTCCTGTTGGTCAGTATGTGGCAAATATACCACAGAAGAGCAAGTGCTTCAGACAAAAAGGCTGGTACATGGGATAAAAGGAATGTCACATCAGGGGACTGATTAGTCTACATTTTTGTTACATAAGCCAAGAATAATCAAGCAACATTTTGCTTGCTTTCCTCTCCCCTCCCATGCATCTGACAGACATTTTTTCTGGAAAGTCTCTGAATCAGGAGGGTGCGGTGGGGGATGCATGGGAGCCAGAGAATTTGATCTATCCGCAATGTATGTTTTTTCAGACAGATGGATACAACTGGAAAGAGCGAAGGGATGCTGAGAGAGTGGCCTTTTTATTGCCCATCTTGGCTATAAATTGGGTCCTAGGAAAATGGGAGAAGGTAATGAAAGCATTATTTTGTACTCTAAATAGGCAAGTCTCTAGATCACAAGAGTATTTATATGACAACCAAGAGGAAATATCAATATTTCAATAAAAACAAATAGCACCTATTGGTGAGAAACTTTTGAAAATAAAGCCACTGTATTTTAAGACTTTTGGTAATATAAATACATATTTTAGATTTACATAATTCACTGTTAAACACTGCGTGTAGCATATGACGTGCACTGGTTATAATGAGTGCCTCTGAAGAAGCTCTTTTGACTAGAGACAATTTATCATAACTTTCTGAACTTGATAAGATATACAATTGTATGCAAAAGTCTAGGTACCCTGGTCAAATTGTAACACTAAAAACAGGATACCAGCCTAATGTAGAAGCTAATATCCCACAGTCAATGAAGAAACTGAAGTTGAAAATAGTTGGATATTTCAGCAAGACAATGTTCAAATCAACCTTACTTACAGAAAAGAAAGATTTTGCAATTACTTTCACAGTTCCCAGACATGAATATTATTGAAAATCAATGGGGATCTCAAATGTGCAGTTCATTCAAGGAGACCTAAGAATATTTCTGATCTAGAAACGTTCTACATGGAAGAGTAGGGAAAAGTTCCAAAAGTAAAAACAGAAAGTTTCTTAGCTCACTACCAGAAATGTTTGGAAGCTGTTTTTTCTGCCAAAGGAGGTATTACAAAGTACCAACTGAAAAGGTGTCCAAACTTTTGCATCTGCTATATTTACTGTTTTTTTTTAACTTCAAACCTGTACACAACTGCACACAATAATAAGTATGCACTTAAATTTGCAGAAAGATGTTGTGTTTAACTTTGCACAATGCAGGGGTTATGCCACTTTATTTTTACTTAGGGATTCACTGAAACATACAATTAGACCAGGACTATACATTTGGATATAACTATATACTGTTTGGGGAGCCTGGTTACTGGAAGATCAAAGGAAAAAAGCGTTAAAATATTCTTTAGCTTCCTTTCTACGTTCTGCTGAAACTGCCCTCACAAAAATTATTTTCTCACTTTTAATCTCACTCTCATAAAACTTGACATCTCTCCTGCCTTTCTTCCTTATCTGCTGACAAACTTCCATCAATCTTATTAAATATCTATACAATCTTGGCATTGTTCTTATTTATTCAGGAAGTTATCACTCCTCTAACTGCTAAATCTCTTGTAAACATGACTCCAACTTTTAAAAATTACCGAGTATATCAGAGATGTGGAGCTTGTGCCCTTCCAAAAGATGCTGAACTACAAGTTCTGGCAACTCCAGCCAGCATAGCCAATTGTGAGAGATGCTGGAAGTGCAATTCAGCAATATCTACAAAGACACAAATTCCCTATTAATATATTGTGTATCTGAAAATTTTCTTCAATGAGTTCTCATCTTTGAGTGATACGTACCTTAACTTTCTACGTGTTATAATACTTTTTCATCTATAGAGTCAAAGAGTAATGCTTTACATTAGTCAAACCTTTGGCATAAGTTAGGACCAAAAACAAAAGACAGAAAACTAGTGAAAGGGGTTAATATGCTGATCAACCAATTTACAAAATCAGCATGATCTTCTTTTTAAGGCTAATCAATAAAGGCAACAAAGATTAAGCCAAGTTAGACCAGCTTTATCATTATAAAATTGTCTGAAAAATCATTAAATTAGATAATAAATTCCTTTTTATTATTTTTCACTCACATCTGTAATATTCATAAACAATACTGGTCATTACCATACAACAGAAAGATGAGAGAATAATTAACTTTTAAAATATTCTTACATTCTGCAATATGTAATTTCTTCTCTTGGATTACAGAATTTTTCACTTGATAAAAGGATAAATTGTTGATTGTTGCAGTGGAATTAATAACCAGTTCCTCACATTCCTCAACAGACTTGCACTCTAGTGATTTAGAAGAGAAGACTTAAGCCTTTTGCCAAGATTCTGTTTATGATCATAACTTCAGCAATTCTAGTATAAAAAGCTACACTGACTCCATAAAATGAAGCCATACAATCAAGTGTTGTAATAAAGAATTGGCAACATTTCAATAAAATTCTTATGCTGAATTCAATCTTCTTGCTTGGGGCCATTTCAAAGTACCACGGAAACCATGTCTATTTTATTCAAGTAGATATACACATTCATCATACTGAAGTCCTCCATTGATTGATTATGTGCCATCAAGTCAGTGCTGACTTTTAGTGCCATATAGATTTTTTTCAGGAGAAGTCCTTCATACTATCATCTAAATACATGATATGCCCAGCAAGACCTTGGAAAGCTTTGAAGGAAGCAAAGAAAAACTTTCAAGACAGGCCCCTGCCAATTCCCTTTTCTAATTTCTGATCAGTTAATAATACTGGTACCATATAGATGATGGTCACCATGGTTTTTAAAATGCTCAGAAATTAAAACTGAAAGAATTGCAGGAATGCTGTCTCAAATATAATAGCCTTTATGGGCTACACAATAGTGATGCAGCTAGGTAAATTTAAATCCATCATTTAAATAAGCCAGTTTTTGCAGCATACAACTAACATGTGTTTTCCTCCTACTCATCCCATTGCCATCCCAAGCATTGCTTCTCTATTCCATGCATATTGTGAGGAAGGGGGAAATTGCCAGAGTTTTTTCCAATCTCCAAGTGTGTACAATTTATATTTTAAACTAATTTAAATTCTGACGTGACTACAGAAATAAAATGGAACATCTGTATGTCTTATCCTCACAATAATCAGATTTTAAAAAGATGTCTGGCAATCTGAAGAGCCCAGAGCTATGTAGAGCCCTGGCTCTGAGGCAAGCTCTAGCTGCATACCTGCCCAACAGCCCTGCTTTGATACTAGGGATGTGGATCAAACAGTAAGACACTGAAACTGGAAAAGCAGCCAATGAGCTTGCAGATAAAGAAGGTAGATAATGGGGAACTCTTAACTATGCATATAGTTCTATAGTTCTGAACCTACCAGCCTTTCCCAACCTGGTGCCCTCAAGTTACGTCAGATTTTAACTCCAACTGACATGGGTTGGATTATGCACTGGGCACAAAGAGTACCCAAGAGCCTTTAAAAAATTTCTGGCTCCAGAAATTCACTGATAATAATGCAAATGTCTGTTTATAATTGGGGGAGGTGGGAACAACAATTTTAAGAGTGCCTAGGGCTTTCAGAAAATTTTCTTTTGCCCTGGACATGTGTCACACTAGGAAGTGTGACATAAATTGATGTCAGCCAAATGATTTTGACACTGATGGTTCCTCTTCTACAGATTATATATTCAAAAGCAGTTCTTACCAAGTACTGTAATAAGTAATGCCACAATGTGATGGTTAGTTGCCAAACATGCACCTACATTTGGATGAATGGACAGATTGGCAATCACTCTTATCAGCTTGATGAGAATGTCTTCTGCTTCAGAAGGATGTCTGAGATTTTTCATTTCGCCATCATCTTTCCACAGTTTACCATTAGGATCGGTTTCACAGTGAGTTTGGAAAAGTACTATCAGTGTATTAATGCTTCCTTGCACCTCAAAAAATTGTTCCCGGGCCCGATTGTTCTTTGCTGTTAAATTGCCAAGAATGAAAATGATACGGATAACTAAATCCTGAAATTGAACATAAGAAAGGAAAAGAACTTGCTGCAAATGAAAATAGATAATTTATGAAAAGATAATGAAATTCACTTCTGTTCTTATCGAACTGGATATTCAATAGTTAAACAGTTCATATTTAAAGTACAAAAGTGAACGAATACATAATGCAACCTAGCATGATTTTACTTACGAATCACATCTGCACACACAAATGGCATAAGATATTCCTTACAGTACCACATACGCTAGCAGTATTTTCAGAACATAACTTCCCACAATTCTAAGCACACATTTATAACACTGACTTCAATAAAAGATCTAAATCAAATCTCAGTACCACACCACCCAACTACAAGGTTCTTTGGGAGAATGGTTATATAACCCAGTAATATAGCCATTAATTTATATAAAAGCAACACAGATGTACCCAGTGATTCAATAAATCTATGACAGGGTTGTTTTATTGTGTATTATTGAGGTTGGTGCTGCTGAAAATGTAGGAAATAGACAGGAGATGGGAATTAATTTGCTTTGAGAATAATTTTTTTTTTAAAAAATCTTTATTCATTCCCACTTCTACCTCAGGCAACATTTACAAATAAATGTCATTGTTAGCAAGGTGAAACTTATTGTGAAAACTGGTTCACTTTTCTCTTGAAGTAAGACATAATTCCTCTTCTATTATAATATGTAACATTAACATAAGCATATAAATTATAATTCTTGAGTGATCCCTTTCTGCATAGAAGGATTATGAAGAATATAATAGATGTATCAAGCAACTAATGTATCAGAAGAACGATCTTTATGATGCTCATTGTTTTCTAATACTATTAAAAATTACTGGCTACCAAATGGGAAATTAGAAAACAAGTACTAAACAATGATTAGCTAGGCTTATCATTAATAAGTATTTCATTCTCATCTCAAAAGTTTCCCATCTGTATTTACCCCAAACAACACTTACTAGTAAGAAATTACTACTGACAGAATTAAAGCTTCTTCATTTTCCACATAAGGGAATCTGGTAGGACTTGGGGGTCAGCACAGTCCCATAATTCAGTTCTCAGGACAGATATGAAGAGACACAATAGGACTGGAATAAGTCTCCATATATCTGAATAAGTATTACTAGGAATTGAGCACACACTTTAGCATTACTATTTAATAGAGTGTATTGATACACCCTGGAATAACCCATATTCCACCTTGTGTGCAACAGCACTCTTCTGCAGTAATTTAAAGTAAAAGAGGGACAAGATTCTACTGTTGTATAACTGGCATCCAAAAAGATAATAACAACGAATTTGGTATTAAGAGAGATGTGTGTGTACCTTCTGCAGTTTTCCTGGCAAAGTTTTTCAGAAGTTGTCAGCGGGGACACTGCGACTGACATAAGAATGAGGACCAGTCATAACTACCACTTGTTCAGCACCATTGTAAGTTTGAATGGTTAATGAACCAGTGGTAGTTAAACAAGGACCTCCTTTACCATCAACTTTTAGGTAGGTTAGTGAGGTATAGTTTATCCTTCTTACTAAGTTATATTTTTCAGTATAGCTGACCTGCCTCTCCTGGATAACTTTTTCTTAAACATACAATCTATGGAACTGAATAGATATGGATCACCATGTACTGTAAATGTTAGATGGATAGAGTCTTTGCAGACATGAAGCACCTCATTCATGAGATAGATTAACATGACGACATTACGACAACAACAACAACAGCTTGGAAAGTAAGATAACTAAGTCAAACTGAATGCAACACATATGATTCTGAAATCAATCTCCAATACCCATGAGTCTCAATCAAACCTCCTAAATAATTCCTAATTATTTTTCCTTACTGAGTTTAATCATTCCAACATATCAAGTATCAGATATATCTGCATGTGTCCCACAATAGCCAAGAAAGTAAGCTAAAAAATCAGGGTGCCCATGATTCAGTTTTCAAGAAGAAAAAAAAACTGCTCAAAAAGGTGCTAAAATCAGGGTTAGGTAAGGTTAGAGTAGGAGAGAATGTGTGGGTTGTGACAAGGGAGTGTGGCTGAGGTGCCAGGTTCTTCTGATTTTTTGGTTATTGGTTTTATTGTTTTTGGTTTTTAATGTGTATTTGTGGTTTTATTCCTGATTGTAAGCTGCCCAAAGTTTGGTTTAAGATGGGTGGTAATACAAATATTTTAAATAAATACATAAATAAAACATAAAAGAAAACTTTAATGAATGTAAATTACCTAATACATTTTCAGTTGAAATCTTAGAGAGGCCAACAGGATCATAGGGGAAACTACAGATGTTTGAAACTTTGTTGGGTCTGCATTTAGAAACAAGTTGACTCAATTTACATCTTCCCAACTGCAGTGTAGTTCTCAATATACAGGCAGTCCCCAGGTTAAGAACGTCTAACTTATGGACTTACAAATGGATACTTACGAATGGGCTGCCTATTACTAAAAATGGCAAACAGCATTCTCCTTCCTCGAGTCAACAAACCGCTATTACTGAAAATGGTGGACGGCGTTCTCCTTCCTTGAGCTGACAAACCGCTGAAGCCATGCAATTTTTTCATGAACTGCTGAAGCCGTGCATTTTTAATATACAGCCTGTTTTCAGTACATGAAAACATTGTGTGGCTTCAGCAGTTTGTCAGCTCGAGGAAGGAGAACACCATCTTCCATTTTCAGTAATAGGCAGCCTGTTCGTAAGTATGAGTTCTGACTTACCCACAAATTCAAGTTACAGCAGACTTGGGAACGGAACTTGTTCTTAGCCTGTAGCAATCCTTCACAACATTTTGATAGAACAAAAAATATGTAAAATGTATATTTTAGGGTAAAAAACAGATATTTTGTAAAAAAAAAATTAAAGTGTGTATTTAAATACAAATTTTCATGTTAATTCATTCATCAGTGCAGAACTGATGTATGATTCAGTCAAGGGCTGCAGTGGACAAGATACAGAGAGCAAGGGTGAGATTTCCCATTACTTCTAAGCATTTGGGAGCAATTTTTGCATTCTTTTAGCTCTAAAAGCAGGAAACCACTATGGTGATGATCTGCAACAGCTCCACTGAAATGTTGCCGTTTGGTTAGAGGAAACTACAGACCCAAAGTAACAGTTACGGGGAATGCATGCTACGCCTTGGAGGTTTAGGTTGCCTATCTCATTATAACTTTTTTTTTTTTTGGTGGCTTCAAATCAGTCGACTCCTGGTTTCTTGGCAAGGTTTGCCCTTGCCTCCTCCTTCCCAGGGCTGAGAGAGAGGGACTGGCCCAGGGTCACCCAGCTGGCCTCACGCCTAAGGTGGGACTAGAACTCCCGGTCTCCCGGTTTCTAGCCCCGTGCCTTAACCGCTACACCAAACTGGCTCTCTCAGTATAAATTAGCACATTAAAAATTGACACATAAATAATATATAGCTATGCCAATTTGTAATGAATTGGGATCTTGATCCAGAATTCTGCTATTTCCTTTTTAAAAATGATTCTCACTATTGCTAACTGAATGGTTCATGCTTTAGCAGCTTTCCTACCAATAAAGCAAGTTCTATGCCAAAAAAAAAAATAGTTTTCTACTTCAATATAAAAACAACACAGAATGGCATTATGATTTAATATTTATTCTCTCAGCAAATGTCTTTTTATTATTTGAGTATACTTTCAATTGAGCATTCTTATGATCACTGTCTAAGGCTATGACAAACACAAATTTGAGAGTAAATTACACCGAATGCAACAAGCCCTATTTCCAAGGATTTCCCCAATTACAGCTTAAGCAGTAGTAGGCAACCTGGAGAACTTCGGATGTTTTCAGCTCCAATTTCCACAGCCCCTTGCCTTTGGCCATAGTGCTGGGACTGATGGAAATAACAGTTCCAAATACCTGGACCACACTGGGTTACCGACTTCAAATTTAAAGCAAGCATTAGGCGATATAAATCTGGTTGGTTATTTCTAGCTGATGAAGCCATTACGCCATGTACTGCTGCTATCCCAGCCTATGCACTCAGCTGCTATGTGGTGACTTTGCAACATAGAAACATTACTGACCCAGCTATAGCACTAGCTTATACTGCTTATTCCTGATCCAAATCTTTTAGGGAAAAATTATTTCAAGGATGCCTCAACTGCATATGAAGAAAAGGCAAATTCCTCAACTGTACAGTATGTCCTTTATGTTATTATCCGTTGAATCAGCATTTCTCAACCAGTGGGATGCTGATGGAAGAGAAAACAGTCTAGGTGGGAAGCAGGGTTAGCAATGTGATATAACTACATCCCAATTGTCTAAAGGCTACGAGGTGGACTTGTTTTGTTTTGTTTTTGTTTTTGCCTGCCACAATCAAGAGGCTAGCAGCTATTCTGGCCTGAAATGACAAAGCTTTCAGATCTTCCATAAGCTCACTTGCAAGAAAGTAGAATGGGGGCAATGGGTGATTTAAACAAGCAGCAGCACTTCTCCTCCATGCTGTTGCCCAAAGATCCCTATCCTCAATCTGTTTCTTTCCACCTACAGCTGCTAGAAACAATGTATCCTTCCTCTCACTCCCAGCTTCTCATTTCTTCATGCAAAGCAGCAAATGTTTCCCAAAATGCAATAGTACTACATTGGTCCCTTCTTAGCCTCATTTATTGGCCTTGCCTTTCAACTACTAATGCTTGCTGGTGTTTCAAAGCCATTGCAATAAAATGTACTCCAAACAATATTACAGTTAGTCCTTGCTTAACGACCATTCATTCAGTGACCATTCGAAGTTACAATGGCGGTGAACGAAGGGACTTACGACCCATACCTGAATTTACAGCAATCTTGGCCCTTGGCAATTGGTTCACCCTTATAACCGGTTGCCAAGTGCTCCACGATCATGTGATTGCTATTTGCAATCTTCTCTGCAGCTTCCCAGGAAGCCAGCAGGGAAGGTCACAAGCCGCCTGCCGAGAGGACTCCCTCTCATCTCTGGGGGCTGGCTGAAAAAACTCTATGTAGAAATCAAGCAGGATTTTAGCACAGGGCATTTTCAGCCAGCCCCCACATCTCCATGCACTAAACACCCCCACACAGAGGATTTTCAGCCCCAGAGTGGAGAGGCTTCTGAAGGCTTGGATTTCAGCACAAAGCTTTTTCAGGCAGCCCCCAAAGTTCTGTGCACTAAATATTCCATCCAAAATCCAAGCAGGATTTTTAACCACAGAGGATTTTCAGCCCCAGAGTGGAGAGGCTTCAGAAGCTTCTCCACTGTGGCTGAAAATCCAAGCAGTTCTGAGGCCCTCATGCACCCGACCTGCACCGCACCCCCACACACCTGACCCAACCCTCCCACGCACCCCCACACTCCCTCCCCCACTTGGCAGTACCTGGGACTTGCAGCTTCCTGCAGGCTTCCTCACTGACATTGTGGAAAGCCAGCAGGAAGTTGCCTTGCCTAACAACCAGGACGTTCACTTAACGACAACAACCAGGACTGCCGGGATTGCAGTTGCTAAGTGATGTGGTCACATGATGTTTCGCCTAGCGACCACATCACTTAGTGATGGAAGTTCCGGTCCCAATCATGGTCATTAGGCAAGGACTGCCTGTACTGCAATTCTACATCCTTAAAATAATTCATACAACCAAAGAGCTAGAGACCAACCTCCTGTTCAATTTAAGGGTAGCTTTTTTTTGCGGGGGGGAGGGTGCTTTCATGTCAGTCTTGACTCCGGGTAAATACATGGACAAGTCCATGAAATTTTCATACCAAGTTTGACAGAAAAATAGACAAAACAAATAAGCTTTATAAGAATAAATGCAAAATGGTATCTGGACATACTTACAAGACATACTCAATGGCTTCTAATAGTAATAATAGCAACAACTTGAAATTATGCAACCTTTCTAGATATTTCAATAAGTTAATATGTAAAATAAAGGGCAGTTTAGCAGTGTAAATCAAGGATTCAGCTTCAATGCAAAAGTGGTCCAGGTAAGGGATATTATTGTAATTTCTCATTATCACCATTAAGGGCAACGCATTCATGCTAATACAAATGCCCTTCTATGTGGAGTATAAACGATATTATAAAAATACTGTAGCTGATAAACACTGTTAGATTTGTTGGTTATTTATCATACCTAGCAACAAGTAAGCTCTTGAGATTTCAAAATTTCTGGATTAGGTATTGTAGAAGACAAAAAAATAGAGAAAAATTGATTAGATATTGAAGCCATAAAAATTATTAGATTTTAAAATGGGATGTGTGGCTGAGACTGCAAACACCAAGATTAGGCTGTACTTTGTACTATGATGGTTTAAAGTTTTTCAGCTGAACTATTTTGGGATAGTCTGAGGATACCCTAAAACCATCATAGGACCAGATAAAACCTAAATGCATATTAGCCACTTCATATCTTACATTTTGAATTATCTAATTTCTTAATCATAAACCTATTATTCTATATTATTGCATGAATATTCCTTTTGATTTGAACCTCTGTGCCTACCAGTGCCTGAATATTCTGCAATGATAAATTTTACTAATAAAAAGACATTTCTGTTGACTTTATGAAAATGCAAACACTCAGTTAATAAAGTGGCATAGTAAATGCTAGTGTTATGGACCAGGATTCAGTATGAACTCAATTTAGTAATAGAAAAAAACAAGTTTGATTCTCCTCTGCACATTGTATACACAGCAACACGGTTGAAAGAAATGTTTAATCTGCTCTTATTATTTATTTGGGGTTTTTTTTTTTTAATGCAATCTTACTATTCTAAAAAATCATTCTCTTACTCTTCTTTTTTTCCTTTTAACTTTTCTTTTGTTGTTTATTTATTCCATATTTGGCTAAAGGTTAAATACAGAAGTTCCAGGACCAAGAAACTCTCAACCCCTTAAACCTCTAGATGCCCCTCTATTATTACTCCTCTCTAACGGGAAGGCTTGCATCATCTAAATCTACTGGACCAGGAGCCTTTTCCTAGGTGCCTAAATGGCTGACAACATTCATTTTTATCTGGTAAATACACATGAAATTTGTCTATAAAAACGGACTTACACACATACAACACCACAGATACATCAAAGGATTAAAATATAAAAAACAGGAGATTAAAAAACTGACCTGCTTCGTTGGGTATTTGTTTAGCAGGGCTAAAAATAAGGCATAACTTCTGGAGCAATCTGCCAAAGCTGCACAGCAGTCATTGAAGGAAGAAAGTTTGCTGCATGTTTGAAGCAATAACATATATGAGATTTTCTTCTATGATTTCCACCTACAATCTACATATTTTGTTCTGATTTTAAACATTATTCAGGGTACAAAATGAAGAAGCCAGCATTCTCTATTTTTGTGCAGTTCAATACAAGCAGCAATTACAGAAGCAAATGGCAATGATTCTGATGACTAAAAAATCAAGTCTATTACATGGGAATAATGACAATTAACAGCTGAATTTAAGTTACCACCAAATATAGTAGGTGACCCTCAAACCCGCTACTGCTTCTTTGGGCCCAACTATGATTCCTTGCAGAAACGGAAAAATCTTCAAGCACTTCAACAAGAAAGACAAAGCAGCAGCAAGGGCAAGTGCAGCAGCAGAAAGCATGAGGAAGTGGCAGTTGTAGAAGTGAAGTGATACTTTTATGGGAAGGAAGAAAAGATGTAACAGCAGCAGTGGAGAGAGAAACCAAGATGGCAAGCCTAAGGCCCTGAGCTGTTTGACTAGACTGTTTAGCTATGGAGCAGTCAACTTATGACTCTATCCAGCCTTCAGCGCTGCCTGCTGCCATTGACCACTGCTCCAAGAGACAGATCTCTCTGATCTCCTGACATTCTTTCTTCAAGGGGTCACTCAAGCGACGGAATGTAAGAACTTCTCTGTGGAAAACAAGCAATGCCCCTACTTCATTCCTACAGGGATGCTTTTGATGACCTTTGCACAAACCTTTAAGGGTTAGCAATCATTTAGCAATGTAAATAGTGTTCCAGTTAAAATGGTTTATAACTTAAGGGAAACAATCTATTTTAAATATATATTCAGCTGTTCTAGAAGTACATGTGTAGCCAAGTCCTATTTCTGAGTTATGGTAGATAAATACAAGCTGTTTTGCAAGTGACAATGTGAAAGCCTAGCTATGCTCATGGTGTGTAGCCATGCTGTGTTCCTTTGTATCATGTGGGGCCATAGACATATATGGCTTAGAGCAGGGGTGAATAACTTTAGTAACCAAGGCCATATATATTGCTTGCTCACACATACATATACATCCATTCAAATGGACACTCACATACAGATAATATTCAGCACAAGATATTTCTGGGGGAAGGCAGAACTTAATCCCTTCCCAGTAAATCAACTCAAAATTACTACTTCTGCACCATATCTAACAGTCAAAAAACAATCTTTAACAGGGATACTGGAAGATGGGAAGATCTTATGCTCTTCATTCCTAATGACTGTGATGCAAATTTCTGGTTTCCTTATGCTAAAGTCATCAGAAAATCTGCAATCTTGACCAGGGTTGCTGTAAAGAAGAAGGAAGCAATACTTCCTCCCCTCTTACAGCAATCCTAATGCAGGTTACTGTTTTCCTGCTGCATTAGCAGCAAGGAATAAGTAATCCTTTCCCACTACATTATCTGCCAGCTGGGTGAGAGGAAGAAGTACTGACACTCCTACAAAAACCACAAGTCAAAAAAGAAAATATATTCAAGGGTGCCCAGCAGACTGTGGGTGATCTACTTGTTTTTAGATTGTAGAAGATAGTGTTTTCTTATTCAAAAAAGTGAGCCAGCACAATAGTTCAGGAACTAAACACTATACTGACCCAAAGTATTTCAAGAGAAATATAAACAGTAGCACCATGGGACCACCAACTTCAATAGATAATGAAGCGGCTGTTGAAGAAGTAAAAAGATCTATCCTGTAATTTTTTTAAAAAAATAATGGGATTACCTGAATATTCTGGCCACATTGGTACATATATCTTTGTCACCCATACGTTTCTCCAACATCAGACAGATCTCTGGAATTGCTCCATACTCTAGGAATTTGCACCTTGACTGAGGTAAGTCTACCAAGTTTCGTAAAGTGGCAGTGAGCTGGAAAAATACATTTAAATATGAATTAAACAAACATGATAAACATAATTTTATTATGAGTACCAGATATTTTTGAAAATATAACAAAAACTTGCATAACCCTCCTCTGATGGCAGCAGTATGAAACTCAGTGGTATGGAAAATTTAATTTTAAAAAAAAATTAAATTTAAATTTAAACAGATTATTTAAACTCCAAAATATGAAACAATGATTCAGGCTTGACTGTTAAAAAAAAGATGTATTTGTAAGTCACTTTTTATCTGAAAGCAAAATAATACTTTATTCATTTTTCAGAGTTGAGTAAACTGCTTGCTTCTATCTTTGACTTATTTTCTACTCTCACTTCATAACTGAACAGAACCTACTGGGCTTCAGTTCATCTTTCCCTAGAGCCAACTGACCAAGCACAAATTGAAATTGGCCTGCAAAGTCCCATCAGGACCTTCCTATATCTCTTAACATGAAATCAGCAGGATAAATTGTTGTCTGAGTTCAACTAAGCAATTTTTCTCTATTTCAGAACTCACTATACAGTTTCTTGATGAACAACTGCATGAAATATGGAGTACATGTCCTGGGCCATGTATCACTATTTCTAAAGAAACTGCTTTGCATAGAAAATATAATGCTATTATTTGCCAATATGGAATGGAATTATATAGAAGGAAGTGCATAAGAGGAAAAAAATGCAATTGTACTTGAGCTGAAAATGACAGAAAAAGGACACCGGCCTTCTGTAATGGTTATAAGTCATGGGTGTCAATTCTGTTGATGTACAAGATCTTGTTAAAATTTCTCCTGTCATTTAGACTGAAATAAGAGAGTCCTGGGAAGAAAGAGTGAAGTCACTATTCTTATTTTTTTATGAACCTAGAACTTCTTTGTATTATGAATTTATTGAAAAGAAAATAGATGTTTTTCTCTAAAAACATAAAATTGGAATTTCAATTATTTATTTTGCAGGTGCTATTAATTTGGTATTTTGGCATTAGGTAATTTTAATACCAAATTATTAAGTCATATGGCAAGACACAGTTTTTCTTTATATACATTTGCAAAAAATTGGGCCATTTAATTAGTAAAGACAGTAAGAAATCTTTCAACATTTATTTTTTTAAAACCTGAGGTTTCAGGTTACACATGGTATTGTAAGTCACTGAAAGCCCTCTTAAGAATGTTTTGCCTAATTTCTTAAAACATAACTCCTTTTGTTTGAACCGGCCCTTTCGATATGAGAGCCTGAATAGCAACATTCAAGATAGATAAACGAGGAGAATTTACTCCTATTGTTTTAATCTTACATTTAACTGTTATTAAAATTCAGTAATAAATTGTTCCCAATAACTGTAAGCGAAATCCCCTTCTCCCCCACTACAACATATTAATTACAGATATTGTTGTTCTGGCATTACATCTACTCCTGAATAACAATAATTGTAACATTAACATGTTATTTGGGGAAAAAAATCCAAAACAATATGGAACTTTTTACAAAATACACCAGAAACTGGAACTCTTTTAATGAGAAATTACTAATGACTTCACTAGTCTAATGTAAAGCTAAACAGCTTTAAAAGGTGATATTTGCAGTAATCAGGAACCAATTTCAATGTTTCATGATCAGCCTTACTGGTATAAGAATGTTCTCATCCATTATTAGTCCTAGATGGAACATCTACCTTGCATCTCTTTACTTCAATGATTCTCTATTCCTTTCCTAATTTTCTCTGAAAATTGCCAATCTACTAGCTTCCTTTCACCCCTTAAATAAAGCAAATGGGAAAGACATTTGATGCCCTTTGTTTATAACCTTTTTTCTACTTTGTCACAAGGTAGAGATCACTTATTCCTGCTTTCTGCTCATTCACTGATGTACCATTAGGTTTCTTTAGGGTCTCATAGATTATAATTATCCTAACCTGAGTGTATGATAATCCAATACAAGAACATTTGTGTGTACAGATCTGTGTGTGTGTGTGTGTATGGTGTCAGCTTGCAATTCTGTGAAACTCATGCACTGCCTAGACTATGGTTTTCTATTGTTTTCATTTACCCATGCTAATCACAAACTAGTCACTGCAAGCTTCAAACTTGTATATTCATTCCTTTCTTCTCCTTCACTGTTTTTTCCATTGAAATAATACATAGTTTTTACTACATCTGGGTTAAGTTTGGATGTACTTACTTTAGCTTTGCTAAACTTAATTAAGTTTCTCATGTATCTCTGAAGTTGACTCTTATGCATGAAGAGTACAATCCTACAAAATTTAATTTGAAATAAATATGGCTGGTTTACACATCACTCCAAACCAAAACACAAATTATCTGGTTTTGGCCTACCACGCTGCATGAAGCCAGCCATTGTAGACTCCAAACTATGTTTGATGGATGATTTCAGCCAACTGTAGCTTATTTGGCAATATTAAGCCAAAACAAAATTAACAAAATTGTAGCTTTGCACAAACTCTCAATGAAATCATAATTGTACATTGATCAGTAATGCTAGTAGCATCTTCCTCAATCTTGGTGCCTTCCAGACGCATGAATGTCAGTTCCAAGCATTCCCCAGTCAGCAAGATCATAGATGAGAATTCTACACTGATATCCACCCATCTGGATGACAACCACATTCAGGAAGACTGTTCTAAATACATGAAGAATTAATCTAGCAAGGTTTAGACTAACTCTGAATTTTACTTGATTGAAATAAAAACGTAATTCTGACCTGGACCAAGAGATGTCCTGAACTGGAAAATCGAGCATCATCTTCATTAATTTCATTAATCAGTTTCATTACTTGCAGCAGGACTTCAATAGCTCCCTTGTTGACCATTTCATTAATGAGCCTTGCATTGCCAGAAATAAATTTTATAGCACCAGTACAATAGAGAAAAGCTTCAGTATTTGTTTGCAAATCTTCAGTTCTCAGAATCTCCAGCAGAGAGTCTATGGAAAAAATTAACATGATGTGAATCTTCCTGTCTGGTGCAATTCCTTTTCACAGAATGAGGTTTATTTCATCCAGCCCTTTTCTGTTAAAGGAACTGTTAAATAAAGTAGTAATAATCCATTATTTGTTGTACACAAAATCAAAATAGCATAAAACTGATCAAATAAATAATATTGCATTTTTATTTATTTTTTTGAAATAATCTAGAGCTTTTAACTATAATAGGCAGTATTTATTCAATGAAACTGCAAGGACAGTTGCCCAAAATTTACTAACTGCCACCCCAATAACTCAGGTAAGGCGCAAGGAACAGAAATAGCTGAGGAAATTTGTTGAAGGGAAGGAACTTGCAACAGCTGAACTTCCATTTACATAAGCTACCTCTGGCTATTTTTTCCATGGTAAATATGTGAGCATATCCCAAATCCCAGGCCTGAACTGAAAGCTCCCCAATGCCCAGGAAAGAGTTTCTGATGGGGATGAAGCAATGGACGTTTCCCTTATGCAATATAGCCCTCAATGATTGTAAGAAGCTCCTTTTTTAAAGAAGGAAATCAGCACATAAGTTATTTTGCTTAAATGGAGGTTGCATATAATGGAAAGTCTTGGTCAATTTGTATGACGAGAATGAACACATATCTTCAATCCAGCATTTTAAATCAGGTGTAGCAGAGTCTATCAGAGTAAAACAATCTTTTTAGCTACAGAGCACACATGGTAAATTCTGAGTTCTTTATACTTCAATAGATTCCAAATTTTCAGTATATAATTTAATAGTACAATAATTGTATTTCTCCTCCCAGCATCATATTGACAACCTTATGAACATTAAACTAAAACTATGTAATTGTAGAACAAGCTCCAAATATATGTGTTAGTTTCCTTTCATAATATTACACTTCTAACATATAGAGATTGAGACCCAATCCTTGCTAAACATTCTCTGGATTGTCCTATAAACACAAAAATGTTTCCTTGAATCAGTCACACATTAAGATGACAGGATACAAATTTAACACATTTCTTAAATTCTAGCCTATTGTTTTGGTAAGAGAGGATATTTCACCTTTGTTCCAAGTTGCTTGCAAGTTTTCTGTATCTTTTTAGTACTGTTTGTGCATAAATATTAACTATATATTTGAGAACCTCCAAATTATTTTCAATTATAGTAACAGTTTAGGAGTTTCATATGTCACTAATGCTTTGGGACCATATTGTAAAGTCAAAATTGTTTTAATTAGCAGTTTTAGAGAATCCAAATGCTTCTTGCAATACATCCAATGTTTTAAGAGTCTGATTAACAATAATCTGATCCAAAGTGTTACCATTTTTTTTGCCCCAAAATTCCAGATGAAAGAATTATGAGTAATGTATAAGCAAAGCATCAATATCTCGTGCAAGTTATGATAAAACTTAAGTTTCCCTCCCATTCACCATTTAAATATGTATTGCATCCTTTGATGCAGGAAAAACATGCGACTTATAGCAAATCAGGAGGCAAGTTCCTGTCAGGATATCATGGGAGAGGGAGTCCAACAGTACCTTTCTAATTGTGTCCATAATGGTTTTTGGAATACATTACTTAGATTCCATGAAGAAATAGAGATCAAAGTATAAGCCTGGTGATAAAACTTGGTTTTCATTTGTATATATATTTTTCTTGGATTCCAGATGTAATTTTTATGTCCAGTTCCTACTCAGTAATAATATTTGTATTTCTGATTACCTCATATTAATTATGTTCATTAGCTTCAAAAAAAATTAACATGCTTAGGATTGGACAAATCAGAAAGAGAAAAAACCATTAACATCAAAATGCAGATTGAAATCATATTTACATCGAATATTTGGTTTTTACATATTTCCACACACATAATAGCAATATATTATCTTTTCCAAATTATAAAAGACATAGAATTACTACTCAGTCATAGAATAGTGTATGTACATACCCAGTATTTGGTCATTCTGAATAAGGGAATCATTTTTTTCATTTCTGCTGATTTTAAATACTAGTTTGCAAACATTAAGCAGATTCTTCCCACTCACTTTCAGCTGTAAGGAAGTATGGCAAAAGAGAATATATATCAAATAACTACACCTTACGTTTCAGCTGCTCTTTTAAGAGCAGATATGCAACACAACTCTCATATTCTGTACATGCTGCACTTAACTGAAACTAGAAACATCTGCAGCCTTATCATAGCTTTCAAATCTATTCCAACACAAGTACTCAAATAAGAGCTTCCATATCAATCATCAATGTATGACAGCCATTTATCAGATCCAAGATTACTGGAGGCATAAAAATCTACATGAAAGGAAGTGAAAAAAATGTTTAATAGAGTCTTAGGAAGCGTCCTCCATTTGTACACCAACTCCAGCATTCAGTACTAGATCATATAAAACAGAGCTTCCTGTTACATCGAATATAGTGAAGTGTGATTTAATGCTGATTTCTCAAAGGATCTAAAACTATTTGCAAGATGCTGGTTAGTTTAGTGACATTAAACCCGAGTTTCCCATACTGGATGCATTTGGGTAGTTCTGACTGAAATAGTGCTGCATCAGACATTACATTATAGGAAGTAAAATGTAATCAGTGTTATCCGCCCAGATGTATTGTGCACCATACACATACAGAGAATCTGAATTTCCTTGATGAATAGATTTTCCCTTCACTTGAATCAAACACACCATTCTGAATTTGTGAATAGGGAACTTTTTGACAGTAGGAAATTGCTAAAAACCTAGCAACAAGTTCTTACAAATTATTGTATAGCTACTAAGTGATGATTAGAGGATCCTGACAAATGTCTCTTCTTAATGAGAACTACAACAAATATACTTTCAAATAAATTAAATTTTATTTATTTATTAATACTGTATCACAAATTATATGAGCATCACATGATGGTAATTATTGCCAGCAGTTTGTAAAAATGTTATTGTATAAATAGTTGTTAATTTTTAAATGGGTTAGGAGAGATACAACACACTATAATAATGAATATTTGCTTTCCTCCTGGGTTTATTCTGCTATGTATCTCTTTGGTATTCAGCCACTCAGGTAAGAAATCAGGAAATGTTGTTCATGAATTATTCTAGGTTTCAAGTAAATGTATTCAAGTTCAAGAGAAGGGAAAAAAACTCTCACAAAGTGTAGTTACTTTTTGGGGTATAATTTTTAAGTTCAAAAAGATGTGACTAAAGTAAGCACCCAGTATTTTTATCTATTATTTAAGTGTTTGTTATATGCCATCACTTAGGCTGAAATTCTATATCTATTTACCTGAAAGTAAACTCAGTTCAAGTAAGCAACGTTACTTCTAAGTAGACAATGGCAGAACTGCACTGTCAATCTCCTAGATTTCAGGTGAATCCAACAGTACAACAGAAAGAAAATTAAATGTAATTTTAAACAGTTTATATATGGTGAGTTCTGCAACTTCTGCTGAAAAATTCATTTAATAGTTTAATTAAGTTCAGTTGTACTTCTCACCATATAAATGCAATTTCATACAAGTATCATACAATCACATTCTGTAACAGTTACAAAATAATTTAACTTACACCCAGAATGATTTTTGCTAATTTCAAGCCAAGAGGATCTGAAGCAACATCAACTAGTTTATATAACACCTTCAACAGTAAAGTTCGCCTCTTGAATCGCTTGCTGAGCATATTTCCTTCTTCTAAGGCTTGATAGAGAGTAGCACAGGCATTGCAAAGGCTTTCTACATTGTTTTCTATTTGATTTGGAAAAGCAGAAAGTTAGTAAAAAAAAAAAAAAAAGTAAAGTAAAACTAAAAAAAAGTTTTAAAAAGTAAAAAGCAAAGTAAAAGTAAAGTAAAGAAAGTAAAAGTAAAAGTAAAATTGAGAGCATGTAGTGATTAAGGCACCAGGTTAGAAAGTAAAAGACTGGGAGTTTTAGTCCTGCCTTAGGCATGAAAGCTGGCTGGGTGACTTTGGGCCAGTCACTCTCTCTCAGTCCAACCCACCTAACAGGGTTGTTGTTGTTGGGAAAATAGGAGGACAAAGGAGTATTAGGTATGTTCACTGCCTTGAGTTATTTATAAAAAATAATAAAGGCAGGATAAAAAAAATCTAAAAAAATAATAATGATCAAATATTTTACAGAGGAAGGAAGGAACTTTTTTTACAAATACCACAAAGCATGCAGTATCAACAAGCACAGCTATTTTAAATTCTCTGGACCCAAACTGGAGAGTTCCTTTCAGTACTCCTCCTGAAGGCAACCCTGGAGTAGAAACTAAATAAGTAGCTTTTGATCAGTGTTATTCTACTAGATGTTTATGTGACTATCTCTACCTTTCACAGAAATAGCATGCATTTGTCTTCAACTAGAGGTACAAAAGAGTGCAGAATGGGTCCATGTGTAGCCTGCTAGCATCCTTTTCATAGGTAATAAAGCTCTTCTCCCAGAATGGATGGGATCAAAAATATAGGCCTTCTTTGCATTGATGGTGAGATGGGGGAACTGAAGGGGCGAAATGAATACATCAAACTTGGAACATGTTTAGGGCATTCATTCCACCCCTTAAAACTCCTAAAACCATTTCCAAAACAGGTCATGACTTTTGAAATGTGTCCCCTGATATGCCACTGAAAGCCTAGGACAGATCTTGAGCTCCCCTCCCCCATTCTTAAACAACTAATCTAACCAAGCACCAGATACACATGGCCAAGACATAAAACTGTGGAACACAGAATTAGTTATATTTAGCAACAGGCTTGCAAGTATTATGAATTAGAAAAAATACCCACAAATATGGTGGTCTCCATGTTTTTTTTTTAATCTTTAACTCCTGATATGGGATTTGTCATTCAAAATATCTGAAATGTACCAGGTTGCCTACTTTCAGTACATGCTATTAATATTTACAGCTTCTTTGAAAGCTTCTTTGTCTTATACATTCCCAGAGGACTTTTAAACCTTGCAAATATATCTATATATCTCCATCCCACTTTGCCCCCAATCTAAATAGCTAAGAACAGGAATACAGGTTGTCTCTTCAAGCCAGCAGTGGGATTATTTAAAATTGGTAATAGGAAAAATATTATTAAAAATAAGAAATCAATGGAAAGAAGCCTTGAAAAGTCTAACTTATGAAACCCAAACAGATTTTATAGAACTATATTATTTACCAATCTCTAATTCATGTAAAATTGGCAAAACTTTTATTTTCCAGTAGTTTTCTTCTTCTTCCATTTCATTTGTTCCCAAAGTATTTTCTGAAACATGTAAACATATTATTGAGGACCATGTACTAACATTCATTTTCAAATAGTCACACAACAAAACTATCGCAAAACATTTCATACATTGTAACTTGTTCTATAACAGTATGTGCCAATCAGGTAAAAATTAAATATTTCAATAGAAATTCCCTAGGAATCTAACTTCAACAGCCTCAGTAATAAAAAGAAGAAAAACAGGAAACTTAAGCAAAGGCAGACAAATTGAGAAGTTCCTTCTCTCTGTGGTTTATTGGTATAACCACAGCTTTGTATGCTGGTCACAAAAATGACACTGGTCTACATTTATTGGCTGCTGTTTTTAGCATGTAAAATTCAAGAGCCTTAGCAACACTGAGCTTCAGAGAACTGAATGTTACTTATCTTAAAAATCTAACTACTGTACAGAAGGGAATTATTACAATGCTAATAATATTAACTTGCTAGTTCTTCACTTGAGTAAATTAACTTTTGGTCCACAGAAATAATTCTTTTAGATATAAAAGCACAAACAAGCTGATTGAAGAGTAGCTGGGAACACACAATGGATGAATTTGGACAGTTTAGCCTTGCCAAACATGATCTGGGCTCTCATGGTACAAAACCAATCTCTATTTTCTTTCCCTTTAATAAGATTAAAATTACACGCATGTACAAACAAACACACAAATGGCAGCTCATTTATTTTTATTTACAAATTTATATGCTACAAATTTATATGGCTCTGGATGGCTTAAAATCTCTCTTTCTCTCCCTCTCTCCAAGTTTGCAAAAAATACAAAAGAGTGCCAATATCAGTTTTCTTGAAACTGACATGTAATAAATAATAAAAATTACATAGAAGACAAAATGACAAAGATGTGCAAAATATTCCATGCATGGAATATGTGTGGAACAGGCAGTATCAAATGATGCATTCTACATGAGTTTAGTCCAGGGACAGATCCAGAACAGATCCAGAACACACATGTTCTGGGCAGAATTGTTCCAGGGACAGAGAAAATGGGAAAACACAAAGCCACTGGTTACAGCCAGACTGTGATTCACCTAGTACAGTCTAACTGAAATTCCAAAAGATAGTACATTTTCCAGTTTATCTGCACCCCCACAAAATGGATATTAAATAACATGGAAAACAGCACCAACTTTCAAAGAGTTCCCACCTTCTGAAAGAATACAAAAAGGTAAGCATGATGTCTTCCATCCCCAGCTCCCTCAAGCGCTCTAAAAGGATACCACAGTCAATAGTATCAAAAGCTGATGAAATTTAGGAAAATCAATACTTCCCCATCTCTCTCTCAGGACAGATAATCCATCAGGGTGACTGAGGCCATCTCCATGCCAAATCTAGTTCCGAACTGAAAGGATCTAGACATGCCATTTTCTGAAAGAGTTCCTGGAGCTGTAGTGCCATTGTCTTCTTTATGGCTATATTGGAAATCAGTGGACCAGCTTAAATGGGTTGAATCTAGAGATGGTTAATTAAGCATCTCTAGATTCTTAATTAACCCTCACCAACACCAACTACACTCAGAGCCAGTATGGGATGGAGTGGCACAGAAATAAGTAAGCAAGCTTTTAAATACCAGAGGAGCTCTGTTGCAGAGAAATATTAATATGCTCTGAAATCACTGGCAAGACAAATTCCACAGATGCACTTTAAGTCAAGCTGGGGTGATAACTAACAGATAAATTGAGGACTGAACCAAACCATGAACCTTACTGTCTACCTTGAGATAAAGAAGAAATGTGACCTATACTTCTCCCACAAGTGCCATGCCATTCTTCTCTCTTCACTCATTATTGTTGGTGCTGGTGCTGGTGCTGCTCTCTATGAATGCTTACTTCTACCAACTGGGACCATATACACCTATAGGCAAAGCCATTATCTTATGCTCATTGCCAGCCCAATTAGAATTCTGCCACGTGGGGTTCAGCATGCCTTTTGGGAAGACAAGCAGCCTCTGCTGGAGGAGGTGACCTTGGAAAGGGAATTTTTATTGCTTCTCTTCCCTGACTAACAAGATGTTTCAGTGCAAGAGATAAAAAAATAGATGGCTCCCACCTTGCTTCTTCCAACTGATATTTAGAGTTAGAAGACAGCTCACGTTTTCTGTTACAATGTGATCATGTATAGAGGGGAAAGAGTTTACTAAAAATCTGTGAATACTAACTGGTGGGGAACATAAGAGGGAAGATGCCATAATACTCATGTCAATGCTGTGGGTTTCCCATAATCCAGAAGTAAGCAATAAAGTATAAGCACTCGAGGGGGCTTAGGTAATAAAATCCAATTCAATGAAAAAACAAAAATTAATGAAATTAGTAACAACATACAACCCAGCAGATTCTACAATGTAAATTCAATTGCTGCTAAAAAAAACAACAGAACCACTGTGGTGTAGTGCAAGGTTTTTCAAACTGTGTTCTGTGGAACCCTAGGATTCTACAAGAGACTAAGGGAGAAATAAAAAAGGGGTGTCCATAGCAATTTTTCTAAGGTATAGCAGAAAGGACAGGGCTTGTCAACTGATATTCAAAAGCATCCCCCCACCCAGGATGTTTGTGCTTATGATGACTCATCCCCCCTCATCCAAGCAGCAGGAATTCAGGGAATTTCTTTTTTTAACTAAAGGGTCTATGACCTGAAAAACTTTTAAAATCCCTGGTGCAATGATTAGAGTTTTGGAGCAGAGGTTCACGTCCACTTCATCTAATGAAACCCACTGGATGACCTCAAATCAGTAACTTTTCTTAGCCCAATGTATCCTCTGAAAACAAAAATTGTGATGTACAAGCTCCTGGAGGAATGACAGGAACTAAAGAATACATAAATACAACTTTATCAAGAAAAGAATAAAGAAAGGAGCCTGAAAAAATGAGGCCTAACATATCCATATACCAACCCATTCAGATAGCCCTAACTGCTCTTAAAGGCTGACAAGTGAACAAATATCCTCCTACCTTCTATGTATATGGCCTTCTTAGTGGAGAGCAACAGATTAAGCAACTTAGTCTAAACTGTTTACGGTTTCAGATTTGAACTATCAGTTTTAATTGGGATCAGAAATGCACCAGTAGTCAGCACAGCTGATACTGCATAGATTGCCTACATTTTGACCATCTCATCTGCACCAAGTCAAATTTATGAACTGTAAAAGCAGACTGATGTATAGCAGTCTGTGTGCATTTAATAATTTTCCCCTTAAGTCATATTAACACTGTAATTGGTAGCAATTCTTAGAAGGGACCTGTAAGCCATACCCAAGGCTTTTCTCAACTACAGCAACTCTGGGACTGCAGATTCTGTACAGCTGCATCTAGAGCCAGATTAGGTCTCATTTTAGTCACCTTCTTCACCTCAAAATCTCTAGACACTAGAGATGATAAATAATAATACTTTGGTCCAAATTTCTGGATGACTAAACTCAAGAGTCTTAGATAAATGTCGACAAGCATGGGGAATACAATGGAACTACATGACATTATATTGTTTAATGATGTGGAATGGAACACAAGTTTCCACTATCACTTTGATATAATTTCTCAACTCAGGACTAGAATTTCCATAATACCATGGCTTCTGAGTCCTCCACAGATAAACCATTGGGAGGGACACTGCATTCCTTCCATATAATTTGCATCGTATTATAGTGTAACAAAGTTTGATTCTGTTCTGTAATGAATTTGAAACAAGATGATTCATTCTAATCAATATAATCTAGCTCTGCTAGATTAATTCCAACACTTTGCCCAAAATTTTGCAATCGATCAGTTGAATTAAATCATCTTTTTTTCATTAAAAGTTTCATCGTTGTTCGCCAAGTTTCAAGGACCTCACTATCCTCCACCCCAGCTCTGCCAATTTCACAAACCAGGGCAAATAAGGGTCTAAGGATCAACCTTCCAATAAGTTTGTGCACGACTAAACAAGCTGAAAAACATCCTGACCATCATATTCTACCTTTTGTTTAGCTTGGACTCCTTCAAAACAAAGATACATAAACCAGCAGAAATATAAATTTTATACAAAAAATGTCTAATCAGCCATAAGCTTCTAACTACCCGAAAAAAACTTTGATTGAAAAAGTATGATCAAAGACAAAATCTTATTTATATTAGTCTTCATTACAAGTATTCCACCACTGCATGTTAAGCACTCATCCAGCATCTTCAGCTGCCCAAAATATCAAGGAACCAACATCATTCTATGACTAGGAAAAATGTTAGGGATAGCCTGACTGGTATCCTTATTCTTAGTGAGGTCTAACATGAGAGTTGTCATCTAAGAGTATTGGCAAGATGCTAGTTAAGCCTGTAGTAAGCCTGCTATTAAGCTTACTTAAGCTTGTAGTAACTCAGGAATCCATCTTAGTCTGCTTCTGAGGAAGTGCATCAAACGTGGTCTCCCATTCTTGCAGAGGTTAAAGATATATCTGCTATATCTGGTATTTTTAAACTCCACCCCCTATCACTACCAGTTTCTTAATTCATCAATGAAATAATTCATTTCACCCCAATCCAAAACCAAAAACTAAATGTGTAGGGCAGATTTTGTTTCAGACATGCCCACTGTTGGTATGGCAGCCTGTTTTATCCACTCAGGCAGATATATGACTAGCAAGAAAAGTTATTTATAAGCCAAAGCAATATCAACCCACCCACATCCAGACTAAGTGAGTTGATACTATATTAGAAATAATGTACTCGCTTGAGAAAAGTTGATCACGTTCATTTGTCCAAGCAGATGTGCTAATGAAAGTCAGATTGCTTTTAAACTAGTACATCAGAGACAATACATCTTTCAAAACATGCCTAGACTACAAGAAACCATATATAAGTCATCAACATTTTGTTTATGGGAAATGGATGAAACATAGAAAAATAAGCCCTACCAGCTAGGAAGAAGTGGTGACTTAGCAAAACAGAGCTAAATGCACCTAGATCAGACGCTAAATCTACACTCCAGCATAATTTTAGTATAAAAACATTAGGAAAGAAAACAAATAATCACCACCTCATGATATATTGCCACCACTATAAATTTAACTGAATAAATCTGGAAAATGCCTTTAAAAACTGTTTACTTATATTGCTAAATGTCATCAACATTTGCTTTAGTATTTTTCCATATCTGTTTAATTTGTAGTTAATATAAGACTAGCAGGATTGGAAGAAAGAAAAGCTGGAATCCAAACTGGGTTAAAGCACTAGCAGTTTGATATATGTGGATGACACCACCTTATTAGCTAAAAATAAAGATTTAGAAAAGTTCATTAGGAAAGTAAACATGGAAAGTGAAAAATCTAGATTAATGTTAGATATTAAGACAAAGGCAATGCCAACCAGTGTGCTTAACTGATTCACAACTGAGTGGAAATACAGATAGTCCTCAGTTAATGACCACAATTGGGACCAGAATTTAGGTTGCTAAGCAATGCAGTCACTAAGTGAATCATCACATGACCAGACCCGATTTCATGACCTTTTTTGTGGCGGTCATTAAGCAAATCACTGCAGTCGTTAAGTGAATCATGTGGTCATTAAGCGAATCATGCGGTTGTTAAGCAGTCTTGGTCATTAAGTGAATCATGCAGTTCCCCACTGATTTTGCTGGAAGAAAGACTGACTATTCCATTGAGGCAATGATTGCTAAGTAGAAACTCACACTTAGGGCATGCAATGAGAGCTGATGATGGACTAGATAAAATTACTATTCTGGCAAAGTTGATGGGTGTAGAAGATGGGAAGGCAAAGTAGATGGATGAAATCAGAGATATCACTGGAGAGTCCCCAGAAAAACTGTGGAGTGTCACCAGGAACAAGTGAAGATGGAGAATAATTGTCCATAGATTCACCAGGAGTCAGGCCTAACTCAATGATACCCAACAACTGTACAAATGAGCTTAAGCAGGCCAAAGATCATGTGGAGAAATAAATAATCACTTAGTTTCATTTTATCAATTTATATGTTATGACAAACCAGGAATTGTGGACAATTAGATTAAGTTACAGTTTATTCTTCCTTTTGGACGCATGAGAAAAGTACTTAAGACTGAAAGTTTGCTCTGGCTTGCCAAGGCTCATTCACGTATAATTAAATTACAGTTAAAAATTACATATGGGCCAAGTCTGTAACATGTACCTGATTTAGTTGCAGATTTAGTCCTTTCAATATAGTCTGGATATGATAAAGGAGACTCCTGTCTATTAAACTGGTCACTAAAAAAGGGGGGAAAAATTAGCAATAACTTTTAAAAGTGCCAAAAAGTCAAAATTATGAATGCATATATAATACTTATTCTGACCTTTCATGCATTCAACAGGGAATGCATTTTGGTAAGTAGAGAGCAGTTTTTAACACTGATGACCTTGTCAAACTGTGCCCCTAGATCTCTCTGCAGCCAAATAATTTGGATTTCCTCAGGAACCACAATTGCTCTCGCTCTCTCTCTACATACATACATACATACATACACCCATAATATATTAATTGCTAAACAGTTTGAGTAGGGATATTAATCAATATATTTTACTCCATTTATAAAAATTATTTATCATAACTTTCAATCAACTGCTGCAAATACCTTAATAACTTTCTGATAGATTAGGAGTTAACACTTCTCTTCCAACCCAAAGAAACCTCCTGTAATCTAATTTGGTCAGGGGTTGGCAACACTCATTACAGCTAACTGCAACTCACAATGAGATTAGCAGTGTGCTCCCAAGAGGCTTGTTTTTAGCACACTCTACCAAGAGTTGATACTGTGAGTTGAGTAGGCGGCCAAACCACCTGTTTCTCAAGTTAAATTATCTCACCACAACCAGTATGGGGATTTCATCAGCTGGGAAGGACCAGAAGTCTGTTTGCTCTCTCTCAGGCTAAGCTGAGGAAAGGAAATTGAGGGTTTATTTATATCTTCTGGCCAAAGTCTTGAAAGCGATACCCAGTCCTATATGCCACATATAACTTTTTAATTAACAAGGAATATAGATGGGATAAACCACAAAATCTTTCACCTTCTCTTAGACTTCTAATTCTGTTTCCTTACATTAGAAATGAAACTGCCTGTTCTTTTATGAATGATTTAATGTTACACGTATTGCTTTCATTTATTTACATAATGTATTTAATTTAACACAATTTCATACAGCATTTTAAACTAAATCTATGCATGGTGCAGTAAAAGAATTGTGCCACAAGAGGTCGTCATTACTGAACATAAGAACTGATGAGCTTCTGAGACTGAGCAGACAGAATCACGTAAGACACGATATTAGTGCCAGGAGATAAGGAACAAAGCATAGAAACCTCAAATTCTATAAACACTAATTTAGTTGAGCAGCAATTAATGTGAATTTACGTATCAACATTAGCCTTTAAAAAGTTTGAAACGTTATTCCTTTCATTTGTTTTTGTTTTTTACAAATAATTTTCTAGTTTTGTTTTGAAATTTATAGAAAAGTGAAAAACCTGCATGGAGTTCCAATTCAACTTGTCAGTCTTAACTAACAGATTTTCATTAAAAAGGCATCTGATTTATCTCAGGGAAGTTAGGAAATTGGGATAATTTATATCAATTATAGAAAAGAAAACTTTTAATTTTAAAAATACCTACTGAAAACCATTCATAAGGAATTGTATTATTATTTCACAGGAACTGTTTAAATAAGCAACATTTATCACCTACGAACCTATAAGGTTGTAAGATAGTTCTTAGAGTATGGTTAGATCGTCATGCCTCAAATATTATTTGAGAATGGGAATGGAGCAACAGAGGAGAAAAGTAGAAAACAAGTGTAGAAGGGATTAACATTATGTGAATTATTTTTAGCTTTTTTTTTTTTATCTGTTCAATCGTGTCCAATTCTCAGAGACTGCTTGGACAAGTCCCTGCAGTTTTCTTGGCAAGGTTTTCAAAAGTAGTTTGTCACTGCCTCCTTCCTAGGCTGAGACAGTGACTGGCCCAAGGTCACCCAGCTGGCTTCGTGCCTAAGGCAGGACTAGAACTCACAGTCTCCCGGTTTCTAGCCTGATGCCTTAACCACTACACTAAACTGGCTCTCATTTTTAGCTATACCCTAAGCATATTATCTGAAGTGGAGACATTTAAATTAGAGCAGTGATGGAGAATCTATGACACGCGTGTCAAAAGTGACATGCCATGCCATTTTTGGTGACACACCAGTGTTCACCAACATCCAACAACTATTCTCCCTGTTTGAGTTACCAAAGAAATTGAGTTTGTTTTACTTGTATTTCATTTTTGTAATTATTTGAAGTTTCTTTATATAATACATAGTACCACACATGATTGGACTGTATGTTTTAAAAATAAATGAATATGTAAAGAATTGTTTCTCTTTTGTTCAGGGGGGTTGACATGCCAACAGAGTCAAGTTAGGCATTTTCTGAATTTTTGACCTGCTGAGCCCAAAAGATATCACTGAATTAGAGGTATCTTTTATCATTTTAACCAACTCTACCTATCAGTGTAAATTCTACATTTAAAAGGACTTTCACCTAAGATTTCATACTTTACTGCTACAGTTAGCATTGCCAATGAACTTAAACTAAAACAATTGTGGCATTTAAACAAGTAGCTCAAGGAGAATACACATAAGGAAAGGTGAAAATACGTTGAGAGAGGTTAATTAGGTTAGATGTAGGTAAATGCAATTAACTGAAACAGTAATTCTGCAGTGTAAGCTACAAAAGTAAATATTTGAACAAATGAGTAAATTTAACAATTATCAGTCTGCAGGAGGTTTATTTTTATCAATTATGAAGAAAAGTATATACTAATCCTCTTGCAACCAAATATTCATTTGGGTACAAAAACTAATTCCCACTTCTGCTTCTATATACAATGAGCAGAATAAAAACAAATTTGGGAACATTCTAAACATTTTAGCAGCCTATGGCATTCGTATTATTTTAAAGCATATACTGAAATGATATAGACCCAGCTCAGAACAGAGATGTGAGTGTTCCTGGAAACAACACTGTAACTGTACACTCTCAAGTAACTTCAGTGTAGGCTGGGGGGTAGGGGGCAGCAGCTATTACTGGCTTCAATTGGAATATCAACTACAGTATGTCCTTTCCTGAACACAAACAGCTACTAACTTCCATGTTCTGATAATTTCAAGCTTAAACCGCTATAACCTGCTCCATATGTGGTTACTGTTGCAGCTGGGCCAGAAGCTGAAGCTGCAGCTACAGTGGAGCAACTGGCTGTTTACATATTACAGTTCTGCTGAAATCATTACACTGGGTTGCTAAGCCAGGTTCAAAGTTCGGCTTCTGATATATTAGAACTAAACAACTTGGGACTAGATATCTTGATGGCCCGACTAGGATGTTACTGATCCAGACACTAATTGAGAGAGTCTAGAAGGTCACTTCTGGAAGTTTTTCTCTGCTTATATTCCTGAAGTGCCAATAATTACAACCCCCTTGCCTTGGCCTCTTCTGTATGGAGTAAGTTTTTTTCCTGTTTTTCTTTTTCCTGTATATTGGTTTTTAAAAATACTGTTCTTAACTTATAGCTTTTAATTGTTATTGTATATTTTGAAAGTAGCTTAGAGATGTTTTTGTATAAGAAGCAGGATATAAAATTATTTATTTATTTTATATTTATTTCAATATTTCAAATTCTAGGCCACCCAATTCCAACTCTGGACAACTTAACACACAAAAACTGTAAAATTTCAAATAAAACTCAAAAATACAAGTTATGCAGAAGCAGCAGCAGCCAACTCCCCCCACCTACCCACAGAGATAAAAACAGACAATACCCTACCCAGCTCCGCTTTACCCTAACCTAAGGCCTACGGAGTCATGTTTTTAATACACTTTTAAGGCTGGTAAGGTGGGAGCCGTGCAAATCTCCAGGGAGATGCTCTTCCAGAACAATATATGAGGAGAAAATGGTAAAGTTAAATAAATACTGACCTTTGCCTGTTCAGTTGTGCCGGAAATGGTTTGCCTGTCATTTGCGGAAACACTTCTCCTACTATCTTATTATGATGGTCTGTATAAGTTAGTGGAAGACATGCATCTCTAACACTCAACTGGATAGGCAGCTTTTGTGAAAAACTTTCATGATCACTCCTTGAAATAACTTGTTCTTCAAAACTCAGCCTCTTACCTGTATTAAACAAGACTTGCAATATTCTCATTAGATAAACACGCAGAAAGATAGCTTTTAAGATTGAAGGGACAGTCTATTCTGAAATATTATTTTTCACATATTCACTGTTTTTGCTAACTAACCGCAACTGAACTATATTGTATCTTTATAAAGAAGAGATGTGATTGATTTTCCTTCCATCGAAGATTTTTTTAAAGAAATATAAATGTTTAAAATGTTTTTAAAAGTCCTTTTTTCAAAATTTCAACTGTATGCCAACCTCCTTATTTCTAAACAAATGTCATTCTATGTTATCCTTATATGTTTAGCTAAATGCATCCCTATTCATCTAACCTGCTGTAGAATGTGGTGCACCTTATCCGCAATAATTTAGATCCAGAGCTTGCCTAGCATAAAGATGCTCATAGAACACTAGCTGAGCGAGAAAGGCAATTTTCAGATTCTCACTGCATCCGTTTGCACTACATCACTCCATCAGATTGGAAGTTTTACCAGAACAGTGTAGAAGGCTGCAGGATAGATGAAATGGGCAAACACATTTATTTATTTAGAAACTTATATGACTCCTATTTCATACATGATAATCCTAGGCAGCTCACAATAATAATCAGTAAAAGCAGAATAAATAAAACCAACCAAACCTCACAACATCTTATATCTCAACCACAGTGCCGCAACATCCCATAAACTCTACATACTCTTGAATTTGCTGGGCTCACTTCTATCCTAGCCCCAAGTCTGGGCGAAGAGGCTTGTCTTCATCTCTTTCCACTAGCATGATCATTCACTAAACTGAAAGACTTGCATGGACTAAAGGCTAATTTAGAGCTCAAGCTAATACATAAAGTTATAATATTATACACATTTGCCTTTGAGAAATCTCACCAAACTCAATGGTGCTTACTTCTAAGATGGAAATATATATTGGGTTGCATTGATCAATAAAACTATTGCAGCTTTAATCAAAGACAGAAATTTGGATAAAAGTATGGCTCCATTTAGTCAATGTATTGAAGACCTGATTACACTTGCTACTTATGAGCAGATTGCCTATGGACATAGACTTTGTATGGACAAGTATAATGAAATATGGGACTCATTTATGCAAAACACACTGGGTTAAAAAAACAACAACAGGATAGTCATATAACTCTATTAGAAATATATATGTACTTGAATAACATTTGTATTAG